GGCTCAGCGGCATCAGCAGCACCGGGGAATCGCAGGTCTCCGGGCCCCCCGTGGACCCTCCGCGTCAGGAGTCAGGCCCAGGGGTGCACGGGAAGGGCCGCGTGGGAGAGCACTGCTCTAGTGCAGACAGCCTGGGTCCGAGAGCCGAGCCCCCAGCCCCGGCTCTGCTCCACTGACTGCCTGGGGGCTCGGTGAGGAAGGCGAGCCCTTCTCCTGTGCTTTGAAAGTCCCGTGTCCACCATGGGGTTCGTCTTGATCTACTTATTAGTGAAGAGCTGAAATTAGTCGCATTGTATCAACACTGCAGCAGATCTGTAGGTTCCAGGAGGTTATATGAAGCGTGTGTCGAAGGGGAAGCGGTCAGTGGATATTCTTCAGTAACGGCGATGGGGGCGCTTTTGGTTTTGCTGCTTAGAGAGCAGCGTGGGGGCACTGGGGCTCCTGCAGCCCAGCCGCCTGGGCTCACCCGGGCAGGAGGAAGGAATTCTCCGATGTTGTTCTGAGGAAAGACCCTGCAGGAGTCAATGCCATTTCCAAATGTCAGTTCTGACAGCGTGGACCCGGCCGCCGTCCCTCCCAGGCCCCGGCAAGAAGCGAGATTCGTCAGAGACTGAGGTCGCCTTGGACACCGTCACCATCCCGGGGAAGGGCTTCTTCTCAACGTGGAAAGAAGCCGTTTCTATGGGGACAGGGTTTGCTCACGTGGAGGCGGAAGGTTACACTCATTGCGCCTTCGTTCAAGGAAGACAGAAGTGACTTGGAAGAACCGGAATGTTCAGTGCCACGTGGCTTGGAAGGGCCTGTTTCTGAGCCTTAGTTATGACCTGCTGTTTGTCCAGAGCCTGAGATTCTGCCACACGTGGGTGTGGAATGGGGGACGCAGCCTCGACCGCCCCAGACACACCCCCGCCCCGATGCCGAGCCCGCGTCCGCCCACCCGGCCCGAGTCGGGGGCAAACCCGGTTCCAGAGAGTTTGCTCTTCTGAACGTGAAGATGGCCAAAGCTCATCAGCTTTCTATAGGCAGCACCATAGGAAGATACTGTCGCTCTGGGGGAAGAACTCTCAACGCACGGAAATAAGCTTTTCCTGGTCTGATGCTCAGTATCTGACCTGCCGGAGGACAGGTGGGGGGGTGGGGGTGTGACAGGAGAGAGGAAGACCTTCCGCGCAGCGTCAGGACTGAGTAGGGGCAGCCAGACGTTACTTCTGCTGAGTTGCACGCCCACCCCCACCCCCACCAAGAAAAAAGGTTGTGTGTTGTTTAGGCAACCGGGAATCAAATGCTCCGGCCCTCGGCTGGGGTGGGGTGGGGGGTCCTATGATCAGAACTGGGCTCACCCTACTGGACTGCACACCTGCTCACCCGTGGAAAGGTCGTAAAAAGGGGCCGTTGTTATTCTCTGGCCCTTCTTCATTACCCTCGCACAAGGACATTGTTTTGTTGCTTTGAGAGAGAGAGATGTGGAATGGCTGCCTTCTTGCATGCACCCTGACCGGGGATCAAACCCACGACCTCCCGGTGTGTGGTACCCTGTGCCAACCAGCCGAGCCACACGGGCCAGGGCTGTCCTGACACCTCCAGTCAGGCGCATCCCCAGGGACCTTGGCAGATCATCAGGTGGACACGCCAGTGATAGCTGTGCCCTGGGAAGACTCCTGGGCTCCAGTTTCATTTTGGGGTCCAGGGAACTCTGTGACCTTGGACCAGGCCCCTGCTCTTCCTACCGTGGTTTCTTCCTTAACAAAACGGGTGGAGCTAGATGTCCCTTAAGTCCCAAATTCCACTTTCTATAGGACAATGGGGTCTTCCCATACAGGACGGGCAGAGGGCAGCCCGGGGTTTCCCACCGTCCCACTGTCCCGCCACCCAGGCGTGGACAAAGGACCCAGAGGCAGGACCCCTAAGTGCATTCCTCCGTCCCCCACCAACCAGGGAGACTGTTCCCTCTGGTCACCCCAAGACACGGCAGGGCTGCTTCTGTGGAGGGGAAGATGCGCCACAGTAGCTGGCAACGTTAGGGAGCGTCTTCTGGGCTCTGGGCACATCCCCGCTGTTTGTGTTGGGCGCTGCCGCCCGTCAGCAGGGTGTGTTTTAATGATGATTTTAATTTCACGTTGGCAGGAAGCCAATGCCAGATAGGGCCCTTCCGGGGAAAGGCTTCCTGTGGGGGGGGGGCATTGGCATCCCTGCTCTTTTGGCTCAGGGCTCCCCACACAGACCAGGCACTTACCAGTTCCCCAAACTGACTGTATGCTCACCCTCCTGCAGAGGGGCCAGCGGGAGATGCCAGGGCGGTGTTGACCCCAGGCCACCGTCTGGGGGCACGTCTCACCAGCTACTCGGAGCCGAGGGACAAGCAAGTTGGAGGCTCAGGCAGGAGTGACGGATACACCTTGTCTGACTTTCCTGGAGGACCCGAGAATTCTACGGCCGAGAAACGGCCGAGAATGCTTGAACTGAAACACATTGGTCAAATTACATATTTTGTACAGGGCTTTTAAACAATTTTTATTTTTGCTAGTGTTCCATAGTTTTCTTGTGATGGCAGTAATAAGATTCTCATATCAAACACTCCTCCTTGTACAAAATGAGAGAATGTGATAGTGAAGGTCTAGTGGGAAAGAATTCAAAGTCGAAAATGCCCAGCAGCACTGATGATCCTGTTTTACGTCTCCACTTCCGAAATGCGCCGAACCTTTCATTCTGGGCCAGAGCCGAAAAACCAGTCACAGAAACTAGCTTAAAAAACCCCACACACCCCCAGATGAAGTAGTAATGTTTGCATGAATGCATGTTGTGTCCTTAAACAAGTGTCATAAACAACAAATGATAAAACGAGAGAGGCAGGTGTCAGGAGCAGTAAATACAAACCCATCTAATCGGCGTCACAGTCGTGAAACCGCACTGGGACCCTAGGGTACGATGCTCCCAAGTGAGTTGTGCCTGGTGTCTCCGTATCACGTGTTTCTTCTGAAAGTGGCACGTGGCACATCTGCTTTTAGATAAATCTAGAAGGTGACATTTATCCCACATGACCTTGTGGCAGAGGGATCGATGGCGATATTCTCGGCACAGAGCCCCCCTGCCCCCTGCTCCCCCACGGTGAAGGCCCCGAGTGCCGTAAATCCGGGCTAATTGGGAATCCCATGAAGGGGTTAAAGCATCACCCAGGACGAGGTGGGTGGCCATCATCCATGTTAACCAAATAAAAGCCAGAAACAGGAAGCCGAAAAGCAGGTCGCCGCGGCAGGCAGGCCTGTGCCGGCACGGCATCGTCCCCGGCTCTGTGCCGCAGCCTGCCCACGACGCAGGTCCGTGTGGGTGAGGCCTGGGGTCCTCATTAGCCCAGCAGTCCTCAGGCACGGGACGCACTTCCGGTTTAACGAGCAGCAGCTCCTGCCGCCGCGCTGTCGTTGGAGAAATACGAACAAATACTAATGACCGCTCACAGAGCAGACCTCCCCCTCCTGGAAACCCTGCAACCCTTCAGAGACCGAGTCATGCAGAACTTCTGTGTTGCTGCTTGGCAAACTATTCCGAGTTGGTTTTTTTTTAATGCTGAAATCAGCCCACAGCAGGACTCATCCTCAAGGGAATCCGAAATCTGAAGTCCCAAGGGGATGGGAAGGAAGAGTCAGGGACCCCCCTCTTTGTGCACTTACCAGAGTGAAGCACCCCCTCTTTCCCGCGTCACACCCCCGGGGCTGTGTGCAGCGAGGCCACCCTGAGACCCGGGGAGTAACTCACCCACCACGGCCACCCAGCCCCAGCCCCGCCTCTGAAACAAAGACTGCCAGGGGCCCTGAATTATGGGCGCACTTTCTGTGACGTGTCACCGGCTCAGAAGGAAGGTGCGGAGGAGCATCGTGCTGCTCCAGCCCGCGTGGCAGGCTGGTCTCGAGCGATAATCCCAGAAGATGGAACTGATGCTGAACTGTGACCCCCCAATTTACAAATCATTTTTCAGAAGAATGAAAAAAAAAAAAAACGTCCCAACATCTTTTTGGCATTACGTGAACGGGCGGCATCTTTCATGCTCACTTCCCGAGGCTGAACGCAGCGCAGGCCTCAGTCTGGACAGACCCCGCACGGGGCTTCAGATGAGGCTTTATTTCCAACACGGGCGTTGGAATTTTTTGTTTTTAACATAGCTGAGTTTAGTGTATTCCTTCAAAACACAATAAATTCCTATTCTGTGGCTTCAGGGATCCGTCAGTAAAAATGCTGGTCTTTCATCTTTATTACCCTCCCATTAAAATGAAAGAAACCGGGACATTCTGCAGCTTGGAAGCAGCCCTGCAGCTGGCAGCGTCCTCACCCCTCGGGTCCCCACACGAGGGGCACTGCCCTCTTGTTGAGTGTCTGCCCACAGAAGCCGCCACGGCGCCACTTGGGTGCATACCCCGCTCCGTGCCAGGCCGGGCTGTGCAGCGACGCTGCAGTCGCCACGCTCCTCCGTCCCCTGCCATTTCCGGGGCTGTGCCTCTCGCAGAACCTGTCTCCTCCCCTCAGGTTTGTGCCACCGAAAGGCAGACCGGGCCCCTCTCTGTTCTGCCGCAGCCATTGGGCCTGAAAGGGGCAGATTAATAGCCCAGCCCCGCGCCGGACCGGCTTGCCTGGTCCCCGGCACTCCTAACCCTTCGCTATAATGAGGACACAAAGAGTCTCGCGTCAGGCCGCCACCCTTCCTCATAACTCACGCGCCTCGCGGTGGCCATGGCCTGCAGTGCCATTTGTCTTTAGTGCGGTTGTGACACTTCGGCATGATCCATAATTTGGCAGCTATTTACCGTGACATTCCCTTCAGTGCAGCCATAACATTCAGTGAAACCGTTATTCGGCCCCATTTACCATATAAATTGTATTGTTGCGCATGCATGCTAGCAGCTGCATTAGGTACCTGGAAATGAGTAAATCTTGTGAAACACAGACGAACGGCTCTCGGCACTAGGATTTCCTTGCTCAGGCAGAAGGCGAGAAAAATGAATCACGGTCACTGAGAGTTCTGGACCACCTTTAATTGTCTTCGTGTTTACTTAGCATGGGAGACACGGAAACCCCGGGGTTTGAGAAATAATCTGGCGGACCCTGCCTTCGGGGAGACAGGCGCCGTGGGACTCCCAAGTTCACGAGGCAGGCTGGAGCAGTCCTCAGAGGGCTGAGGGTTGGGAGCCCAGCAGGTCAGCTGCAGGCATCATTCACAGGGGAGGACATGCGACCCGTTACGTTCCTGTGTGACATCAGCCGACAGGACAAGCAGCATCTCACCCAACCAGAACCGGGGGAGAAGGAAAATGCAAGGGTAGGAGCAGGGGTGGCTATTCTGTGCCCAGCATCAGCGGTGAAGCACACCTTCCATGCCTGGCCCCTCTGCCGTGGGGCCCGTGTGTTGTTATTGCCGATTGCTTTGCTCCCGGCTCCGCCCAGTGACGAGCGGTCAGTCCCAGCCCAGGCATCTGTCAGGCACCTCCTGTGGTGCGCCCAGGGTGGCTTGCCCTTGTTCGGTTACGGGGACCCTCGCTGTGGATGGAGCACACCCAAGTCAAGTCGTTCAGGCCCCCTGACTCCCTGTCATCCGCCCCAGACCTGCTTCTGTCTGTGTTGGTTTTCAGCATTAGCTTGCTTCTTGGTGGAGGAGAGAAACATTTCATTCCCATATGGGCCCAGCACAAGCTGCGGCACACACGGGACCCTTCTTCAAAACAGGCCTGCACTCATGTACTCATTTTTTCTAATAATCAATACGGACCAAAGTTAGGGGAGAATTCCTCCAACTTTCTGTTTAGACAGTTGGCTAGCAATTCACAGGAACCAAAGGGGCCATTTCCTGAGAATGTGGACACTGTAGAGATACGGCTGAGTTTTACATCGAGTCTTGTTTATTAACTACCTATTAGCCTGAGGCCAAACCCCGCCAAAGCAAAGAATTTGTGAACTATTTTCATGACCAATTTTAAAATCTCATCAAGCCAAAGACATCCTGGTTTGATCAACTCTCGCATCAGGAATTAATTTAGTTTCCAGGAACAATAAAATCTGGAACGAGACTGTCTTTGACCAACGGGCTGAATGTAAAGGTTCTACCCCTGAGCCACAGAAGAAAGTTTTAGGAGCACGTTATTTTTTTCAAGGGGGGGGGGGGTGGAAAGAAAGCAAGGAAGGAAGGAAAAAGAGAAACCTATGCATTAACACAGTACTTTGGTTTTAAGAAATATTATCTCTGTTACCGACTAAAAATAAATCGGCTGAAGTGGTTCTGAAGCCTCAAGTGCCTTCCCCTCTGATTTACGCGGCTGTCCTGCTTCTACAGCTTGCTGTGGACAGAGCGGGGCAGTTCCACCACCACTTTCCCGGTGTTCTTCCGCAGGTACATGTGATCCACCGCCCGGAACACGGACTCCAGGCCCTCGAACCTGCCCTCCGCAGACAGGCCACCCCGGTCCACCTGGCACACCAGGTCTCCGCTGGCACACATCTGCACCAATTGCTCCATGCATGCTCTGTGCTCGGAGAGGTAATGGTTCAAAAAGAAGCCCTGGATGCTGGCCGATTTCCTCAGCAGACTGACCGGTAATGCTTTTGTTGTCACGGGTGAAAGGCCAGTGGGCGTTTGGTAGCCGGAGATGAACCCGATCACTAGCAGGCGCCCCCTGACGGCCAAGGCCTTCACAGCCTCGTCGAACACGGCGCCCCCCACGGACTCGTAGACGACATCCACGCCGCCGGGGTACTCCTGGGCCAGCACGGTACCGACGGGCTCTGAGTGGTAGTTGATGGGCCGGTCGCAGCCGATGGATTTCAGAAACGCAGCCTTTTCGTCCGAAGAGCAGGTTCCAATCACGTGGCACTTGGCCTTCTTTGCAAACTGTACTGCAAACTGGCCGGTGCCCCCCGCCGCCGCCGTCACCAACACTTTCTTCCCCTCCTGCAGCCCCCCAAGCTCTCGGAGGCTGATGTATGCGGTGGCAGCACTGACCGGCAGGGCGAGGTACTCGGGTGTGGCGGCGGGCACGGGCGTGGCCATGCCGGCAGGCACCACGACATACTCGGCGAAAGCGCCGGGGGCCGTGTAGACCACGGCCTGGCCCACTGCATACTGGGCGCTGGCAGACAGGCCCAGGGCCACCACCTCGCCCACACCTTCGAAACCCGCATCGAAGGGGGTCTTGACGGAGGGGTCGTACCGCCCGGCTGAGTAGTTGATGTCGGAGGCGTTAACACCAACAAACCTGGAAGAAGACAACAGAGAGTAAGATGTTTTCTTCTCGAAGCCTTACTCGTCCTCCTCGGGAAACCCCTTGCGCCGGGTTACTCTGGAGGGCTGGCTTCGCTGCGCACTCCGAGGGAACACGAAAACCGAGGGCCCCGATGTCCAGTTGAAGAAATGAAACGAGTCTTCGTTCAACAGTGATTTGCAATCCAAGTTGTGATGTCAACAATTTAGGAAGCATTTCAATCACTTTAAACATCAAATTGTTTACATCACATGTCATTTATATTCCTCCTCTTTCTTTCAGAATGAGGAATAAATTAAAAAAAAAGTCAGGGAGTGTTCTCATCCACAAACTTCACTGGGGCTGAGCTGGAAATTAATTGGCCTCTTAACAAAGACGTTAAAAACAACAGTGAGATAAAATATTTTCAAAGAAGGAGACTTGTATTGATTTTGGGCACAATTTAACACTTTGGATAATAATAGTTATGACAATGATATTATTAAAGATTGATGTGATGTACAAGGTCATTCCTGCAGGGGTTGTTTCAAAACACTGTTCAAAAGCCTCTGCGGCCAATTTTCTTTCTGCTCTCACCGTGTCCAGTGTGAAAATATGCACTTTGATTAATTGAACAAAAATTGTCTCATAAGGGGAGAGAGGTTTTATGGAACATTCAACATTTTACAGTCCTTTTCAGATGAAAAGGAAAGCAAATCGTCACTATACTTTTCCTCAACAAGAAGCAGAGACCCAAGTTGATTAATACCAGATGATTATTCCCACTTTGGTATCCAGAGTCAACTTAATTGCACGGCCAGTACCAGCTCTTTTTCATCTCGGTATACCTCATAACAAAAATATCCTGGTACACGAGAGGAAAAAAGTCGTCTGCCAAGAATGTCAGGAGGTGGCTCAGACACATAATGGAGGACCCTAAAAATGTCATTTCCACCTGTAATGAAGCAAAAGGGGGGGTGGTATCTGGTGGCAGGAGGAAAGCTGGTAAGTAGGTCATTTTAAAATAATTTACTTTTAATTTAACTTAATAAACCCACACTGCCCTGTGCAAGGATCCACTTCCCCCGGACTGTAGGTAATACTTTGCCCTTAAAAATATTCCCTGAGGATTCTAACTACAGGGCTGAAAGCTCTCCGTACAGTGTAGAACTAAGAAAGCAGGAAACCATCCCTTCCCAGCACGCAGGCTGCTTTCCGAAGTTAGCACCCCAGGCAGCAGCGGCAGCCCCGGAGCAGCCGCAGACCTCCGTGCCGTAAATGACACACAGTAACGAGAGGCGAGAGAGGCGGGGGAAATGATCTTCGCTGGTTTCCCATTTGGCATTTCGTACCAAGATGCTTGCATTCTGTTCGGGGGTGGGGCGGAGGTCTGGGCTGCTCTCTCGCCTTTTAACTCGCCCAGTTGTGCAGGCCTGCTCTTTGTGAAAAGGGCCGGCCTCTCCAGAGCAGGCGGCTGGTCTCCCTAGAAAACAGCCAGGGCCCAGCGCCTCTCTGTGACCCAGCCTAGGCTGAAACGCAGGCTCTGGGAAGGCTTCCTGTGGGGGAAATGCGGAGGGCGGGGGTTGCTTCAGAAGTGGGCCACTGGGAGCCCCCTCCTGCAAAGGAACCCTTTCCAAGCCTCTCCATTCTTGTCCCCCCTGCCCCCCCATGTTTCTGCCTGCAGTCCCAACAGTTGAGACTGCCTTTCTTCCGCAGGGAGACCCCGCCTTGGACTCGGAGGGATGCCTGGGTGGCAGCCAGCCCCTTGGACACCCCCCAACCTAGGACCCGGGAGCTGGAAAGCGGTGCTGGAGAAGGCAGTCCCAGCTTGCCCCTGCCTAGCCTGTGGTTGGTTTGCCACTTCCTGGGGAAGAGGTGGGAGACCCAGCAGGGTGCTCTGCGCTCCGGGAGAAAGCTGAGGGAGAGGGCCTGTGAGCCACAGTGGACAGAAAGGGCCTCATGTGTGTGTGTGTGGGGGGGGGCTCTGCTGGGAGCCAGGGGCTACAGCCAACCAGCAGAAGCTTGAGTCTGCCAAGGGGGCTTTGCCTAAAACAAGTCAAACACTGCGGTTGAGCAGGGGGCATCTGCCAGAGCAGTGACAGGACACCCGTAGGCCTGCTGTCCCCTTCTGTCTCAGTCTCCCCAGGGACCCCGGGCCGACGGCTGGGTGCCAGAGGCCAGCAGTAGGAGCTTCCTGGACCATCTCCCTTGGACTTGCCGGCCTCCTGGGACAGCCTGACCCTCCTGTCCCACACGGTGCCTCCATCACCACCACCAAGAGGCACGATCAAGGTCTGGGATTAATGAGTGAACTGGGGCCCTGTCCCCAGAACTGGGGTGAGGGGCTCAGACACAGACCCTTGACCATGACCTCAGCCTCACCGGGCAATGCAGGGATCTGGCTGGCACGCCCACCCTGGAACTCGGGCCAGGGGCAGTCAAGTTCTGGGGGAGCCCGGAGCATTCAGGGTGCCTAGGTGCAGTGGAGGCGGCACAGAGGCCCGCTGGTGCCTGCAGCCAGACTGTGACCTTGGCCTCAGAGGCACCCCCATTTTCGTGCCCCAAGCCCCGGGGCTCTGCCTTTTCCTAAGTCAAGTGTGGTGGGTGAAGGCATCTCATGCCGGTGGCAAATCTGGCCTCACACTCTCCACTGGCCTCTGGTGCGGCCTCTGCCTTTCCCCAGACCCCGATGCACCTTTGTGCTTACCTGGGCTTGGGGTAGAGGTGACTGCAAGTTGGGAGTCCTGAGTTCCACTCCACCGGAAACCAGTTCGAGAGCATCAGTGCCAAGGGAAAAGGGTCCCGGAAAGGAAAGATAAAACCCACCAGGAAGGATGCGGGCAGGAGACTCCTCGTGAGCCCCTTTAATTTGAAATCTGCGCTTTTAATGAGTGCGGGGTCCCGGCACAGAACCCACTCAGCGGGGTGGTGGGAGGTCCCGGGAAAGAGAGTGGGCAGTGATGGCCTTCCCCCCAGGAGAGAGCCTTCCAGAGTCGCCCCATTTATTCATATTAAAAAGTGCCGAATCCGTTCGTGTTTACTGTGAAACAGGGCGGTCTGGGGGGGGGGGGTGGCCGTTTTCTCCAACCAAAACCGAAGGTCACCTTCAGCCCTGGGAGACAAAGTCCAAAGTCATACAAACCAGACTCTCTCTTTTTTAAATACAAAATAAAGAAGGAAGAAAAAAAGAAAAAAACATTGGCCTGGAGAGTTTGCAGAAATGCTGTTCCCCTCTGGTGAGTAACAAACCCTTCATCCGAACGCCACCACCACCCCCTTTCCCGGTCCCCTCCTTCGAATTCTGTGCTCCATTATCTCACACGGGAGCAGAAAATCGTTAGAAATATTTGGAAACGAAATAATGTGTCACTACGGCTCAAAAAAAGCTAAAAATAGCTCTCCAACGGACTTCCCCGGAGGCTGTGTTACTCTCTTTCTTTTTCTTTCTGAAGATTCGGCTTGGAGGGGGCCCTGAAGTTGTCCGCGCAGGGAGGTAAGAAGCAGCAAGGCGAGAACTGGAGAAGGAGCCTGGGCGGAAGGTTCCAGGGGAGTTCCCGCGCCCCTTCTCCCCTTTCCCGAACGGTAACCTAGATTATCCCGATCCTGCCGGCGCTCAGAAGCACTCCCCCACCCCGGTGAATAAAGACTGTCGACTTTCTGTTGAGGGTGTGAGATGTACAAAGGGTTCAAGTGAAAGAGAAGTCAGACCTCCACACCTTTCCAAATAAGTACATTTGGGTTGAATCCCTTCATTCCAGAGCAGCCTTCACCATGAGAAAAAGAAGCTCTTGCCTAACATTTTCATGCAATTAACACTGTTCTGGGGACATTTGGTCTAGAATTAAGATGGACTAACCTGCAGTGAATTATGAAGCCTCTGTTCAGAGAGAAAGGAAAATGCCATCTCCACTGACCTCGGCCGTGAGAAGAAAGGATCTCCCTGCAGCGTGGGGTGGGAGCAGAGTGGCCAGCAGAGCAGGGAGGGGAGGCCGAGGTCCCCCACCACCCCCAACAGGCAGAAAGCTGCCTGCATTCTCCTTCTGTTGCCGGCTTCAAGGTAGAACTTGGAGGTCAAGTTGTACATGTCAATATAGTCACTATTTATATTAAAGGGATTCTGGGCAGAGATAGAGGGGAAAAGGCATCGATCTTAAAGCAGCCCAAACTGATGAACTCCCACTGTGAAAGCGAACTCCGACGGTGAAAGCTGGTGGTCCAGAGCTCTGGCCTGAGAATCCAGGGACTCTTGCGGGTGAGGCAGTGCCAGGGGGTGTCCTGGCACCCAGCAGGGATGGGGTGACAGTGAGCGTGAGTGGAGAAGAGTGTCAGGAGGAGGAACACGGGAGAAGTAGACGCACACCGGGCAGAGAGAGGCCGGGAGAGCCTGAGAAGCGGGCGGCAGCAGCCTCCGCCCAGGGCTCGGGCTGCGGTCCCACCTCGTCACAGCCGGTCCTGCGCTCACCCTGCACCTTCCCCGCCAGGGAGGCTCAGTGGCCCCCTCCCCACTCCAGACCCTGTTTCTAAAAGGGATCTTACTCAAGCCCTGTGTGTGCCAGAAAAAAGAAACCAAAGACTAGGAAACTTTTTGAAACTGTTTTTCAGCCTGAGGGCTCATCTCCGCTTCCAGCAAATCACTCGCATGTCCGTCTTTTATGTTCTGCGTGACTCGCACCAGCCCCCCTTTCTACCCGGGCAGGACCCGTGTCCTGACGGCCGCAGCATCTCGCCTACAACGCAGAGCCCCGCTCCCACTCCCGCAGACTTCTTAACGGACTCGCGCATCCTGCCTTTTAAAAAAGCGCCCCCTCCCAGCTTCAACTCAATCCCCCCACCTTCGGCTCACTAAGTGTTAACGTTTCCAACCACTCCCCAAAAGTTTTATATCGTGATCAGCATTCTGCGGTTCTACAGTCTTATTTGGAAGGCTGACGTGAATCTCCAAAATGGCCTGGCTCCGCGTTGCACCAAGCTAGTTGGGCAGAGCACATGCCGTCCTTCGTCTTCCTCGCAGGGGGCTGAGAGTGCTTCCCCGCGCACGGGGCTACATCGTAGTTACCATCAGGACTTTCTCCTCCCTTCGGAGTGTTATGCAACCTGCAGCATGCAGCGCCGGAACCCCTCGGGCTGGACCCAGCAGGCGGGGGAGTCCTGCTCTTGCGAAAGGGACGGAGTAACCGGGCACACCGCGCCTGCAAGTCCGGCAGCGAGTGGACTCGGCGGGAGAGACCCGCGGGCTTGGCTCCCACGGAGCGAGGTCCCGTTCCTTCCTGTTGCTTCCCCAGTTACTAGAGATCAGTGAGGCGGAAATACACTAGGGTGGGGAGTGGAGGGATGGAAAAGGTAGAGGTCGGGCCGCGACCCCAACGTCCCCGAAGGTCTGCAGGCCGTGCAGGCAGATGCAGCCATGCCCCCGCCCCGGCCCAGCCGCCCGGGACGCGCGCCGCACGCCGGTCGGTACGTTCAGGGGCACAGACAACAGTCGCACACCACTGACAACACGACGACAGGGGCACACCAACACACTCAGAGACAGGCTCCGCCACTTCGAGGTGACTGCCCACCTGGAGCGGACAGGAAACGCCAGCCGGGTCCCCGGCCTCCTTCCTCCGAAGCACCTTACGGAAACGTCGCCGTTTGCGTCCAGGCTGCTCCTGCTCCACCCTAAAGATTATGGGCACGCGGGAGCCCTGGGTGCGCGTGGGTGGGACGGCGGGAAGCCTCCGCTTCTGGGTCCCGTCGGTTTTATTTCGGGAGCGGGAGGGGGCGGAGGGAGGGCTGGTGGAGGGGAGGGGAATCCCAAATTAAAATCACCCCCAGTTATGAGGACGTTCAGTGGCATCGGATATTCACACCAGCAACAGTCTCATTACGTTCGCCTTCACCAGATGGCGGCGGGTTCAACTTCCCGAGATCTCGCTAAGTCAGGCTGTGCGCCCGCGAGCGCCGGGTGCGGGGACGCAGGCGGCCGGGACAGCCCGGGAGAGGCGAGGCCGGGGCGGGCGAGCGCGCGCGCCGGGCTCACCGGTTTCGGACGAGGAGATCTCCGTCCCCCGGGAGCGGCACCGGGCAGTCCCGGAGCAGGGTTACGGCCTCGCGGAAGTCCGGGCTCAGCCGAGTCACCACCAGCTTCTGCATGGCGTGGGGGATGGCGGAGCCCTGGAAGTCCAGGAAGTGGCGGGCGTACGACATGTCCACGATGGTTCGGGCCCCGGCGGACGCCAGCCTCAGCATGGCCCGCGCCTCCGCCCGCTTTCTGCGCCGCCGCAGGCCAAGGTCGCGACCGGCTGGGGCAGCTGGGCTCTGCTCCGCGCGAGCGGGCGGGCGGAGCCGGAGGGTCCGCCCCTCCTCCGGCCCGCGCCCTCCCCTCAGCGCCCCCCTTTCCCCTCCACGCCTGGCGCCCGCTCCCCCCCTCCCGCGCGCAGCTCCGGGAGTCCACGCAGCCCCCGCGGTTCCCGGACGCGCCACCCCCGGGGTCCTGGCCGGGGACTGCTGCCACCCCGGTAGCTGCTCCTTTAATCTTTTTGTTTTGGTTTGAATCTGCTCGGCGCAGACTGGCCAAGGAGCCTCTCCGCCCTCCCCCTTCCTCCGGGCTCGGGGGAGGCACCGGATATCCCCACCCTCGCAACGCTCTAAAAGCCGGATTTGACTCTTCTAAAGGGTGAGGGGGGCGCAGAAGGGACCCGTGAGTCCCGCGATCGCCGCGGTCCCGAGCCGGCGGCAGCCCCGGGCTTTCGCGGAGGCGCGGCGCCCGGCGGCCGGCACAGGCACCTCCCCTTCCCGTGCGAAGCGTTCACTTCCTTGCAAGGTGGTACGAATCAACCCCGAGCTCGGCCGGGGCGCCGGGGCATGGCCGGGGCCCCGGGCCGCGCAGGGAGCCCCCGCCGCCGGTGAGCGCGCACAGGCGCCGAACTGGGGGCGGCGGCGGGGGTGGGGGTGCCCAGCACACCCTACGCCCCAGGCTCCCGGCCCCCTGTCCCCGGAACGCCTTGCCGCGTTGGAGCCCCTCAGTTTGTCCCATTCAAGTTGCACGAACTAAGCCGTTTTCTTTATTTTGGCCTAGAATTCGTGTTTTTCCACGAATGTTTTAAGCGGCCTCTGCAAGACACTTACAGGTTTCCCTTTGGGAGAGAACACACATATTAGAAACCAGAGGGCCAAATTCCCAGAGCACATAAACATCTTAAACTTCTTGGTGGGGATGCCGAGGGACTTAATTGAATTGGAGATGTTGCAATGATGTAGGGAAGACCTCATTTGATAACCCCGCCGGAGCGAGCTGCAGCTGCGGCGTGTCCATTTCCACCCTAATTGTCTGTATCGACCAAATAATCAATTCACTTTTCATAGAGGGACCACATTAAATATTGTCCACATTTTTGTGTGATGAGCTAAGTCCATCTTGAGTTTTTCATTAAAGGTATACATTTTACTTTAGAAAAAAACCACCTCTTGCTTTCCACTTGCCATAATTACAAAAATATAAAAGCCACCTAATGCCCCTCCCCAATTAAATTTAACCCCCAAACGAAGATTGCAAAGGTGACACAGGTATTTTTTTTTTAATCTCAAATGTAGGACATTCTTCATTCAAGGGTGGTTTATGTCCACGTGGGTGCGTTGTATGGATGTGGAAGGTGTGTGCTCTGGGTGGGGGGGGGCACTAACGGGTTTAAAAATCTGTTAGTGTCTACTTATAACTTGGCTTAGAACACATGGTTTTACCCAGTATCAGCCGGAGAATTACAACAACAAACCCCTCGATGTCTTTCTCCAAAGTGCTATC